TACGTTCACCAATTGATTTACATTTTTTCATAATTTCTTAAAAAATTCCTACAAAGTAGCTAAAAGAAATCACACTTCCGATCTCACACACTAGCTACACCATATTGCTTCGCGAGCGCATATCACTGCCCTAGTTGAAAAAAGTCCGACATATACTTGACTTGTCAGTGACGAAGGTTCGTCGCCCCCATCAAGGGCCCCTGAGATGAACGCAGACCGTCGTCGACTCATTTTATTAGTGGGAAAGACAATGTTGGTGGTCAATCGTCGTGGAATCGGTCAAGGTGGAGTTGTGGTGGTGGACAGTCAAGGTCAGTCGTGGTATTGGTGGTGGAGTTGATGGCCAATGTGGAGTCATGGCTTGATTAAGGTCAAGGTGGGACAAAGTTAGTACTTAGTGATTGTTGGATTATTATGTTATTCTCAAAATTATAAGGGGCATGAAATTCTTTTAATACTATAGCTTGAGTAATTCCATTATGGAAAATAGCAATTCACTAAATTAATTGGGTTAGACAAGTTAGTTTCGGGTTGACTCGACCAGAAACTGACCCAAAAAGCTAAACGGGTTAAGGTGAATTATTGTCAGGTTGAGAATTTCAACCTCAACCTAACCCGTTTATTTTCAAGCCAGGTACGGGTTGACCCAATTACATAAACAGGTTAAAAATCTCATTCGAAATCCATTTATTTCATATTGGGTTCGGGTTGGATTATCGGGTCGGTCAACTATTGCATGCCGTAATGAAAAGTACTTCCTCTGTTCTTTATTACTTGACCTGCATTCCTTTTTAAGAAGTTTCTTTTTACTTGACATGTTTCCTAATTTGGCAATTTTAACACTACACTTTTACTTATTTGCCTCACCCTTTCAAAATTATTAACCCATCATATTCTTATTACATTGGAAAATTTGTCAACAATAACACGATCTTTGGCCGGTCTTCCCTAAATAACACCGCCTTTTGATTATTCAACAATAACACCACCTTTCCTATACTTCTTCCCAAAATGGTACAAAATTATGGGTGACCTGATTTTGCAGGTAAACTTGATGACGTGGCCTGTATTTTGGGGTAAAGTTAAGGATTGACTTAAATTCCCCCTCCCCTTAGCCTACGTGGAATTAAATTCCTCAACTACTCTCTGTTTCCGTCTTTAATTCATTTACCTCTCAATTTCACTCTCTCTCCAATTCTTCTGTTTGAAAAAAGAAGGCATCATAATTCAATTGAAGATCAAAAATTAATTGCAGAAACTTTGGTGGTTGATTGAGTACGATTGTTGCAGATTGAAGGAAGTAAAGTTTCGATATTTTGTGTAAATGCCTAAGAAAAAGGTACGATTTTTTTTGTTTAAATACTTTGAAATTGATTGTGGTGTTTTGGATTATGAATTGGATGCATTTAAATTTTAATTTGAAGTGATTAATTATGTAATTTAGTTTGTTTACTTGGTTATTATTGTGCTGGGCAATTTAAGGAATCAGTGGTATATTTTTTTTTAAATGCTTGTTGTGATGAATGTTTGTTGATTAGTTAGATTATTGATGTAGGTAGGATTACAGTTTTCGTGTAGTATTGATGTGATGCATGCGCTGTTTTTTGTAGCCTAATTGTGGTGTCTAATTATAGGTTGCAAAGTGTAAGAATTTTGACAGTTTGACTGTCAGATTCTGGCATGGGGGTGAATTTGAATTGGGTAAGAATGGTGAATTGGAGTATAAGGGTGGGGAGTGTACTAATTTTGTTATAGACCCAGATGAACTCTGTTATTGGGAGTTGCTTGAGTTTGGGAAGCAAAGTGGGATGGATTGGGTGAATCAGCTGTTTTACTAAATTCCTGGGTTGAGTGTGGACAAAGGTTTGAGAGTAATCCATGGGGATGAAGAATGTAGAGTGATGAGTGAGTTAGGGGTTCAAAATAGGGGTATTGTTGTGTATGTTGTGCAGTATGATTATGACACACTTCATGCACATATTGATCTTAGTCAGACTAAGGAAGTTGGTGTGAGTCAACCTGTTCCAAAGGAAAGTGATGTTGGAAAATCTACCCAATCCAAAATAGCAGAAAAAACAGTTGAAATCCCCCCAACTAAATCCAGCAAAAGAAAAAAAATGACTCCCAAGAAGGGACCACAGACAAAGTTGATCACACCCCCAAACACTTGTCCTGGTCAAAAGAAAGATGCTGCCACATCATCACCAAAAGCAGCCACCACATCATCTTTTAAAAAAGATTCCTACCTTCCCCAAAACCCACCTACATCTTCATCACAACACACTGACCCAACCACCACAATTAAACCAACAGAAATAAATCCCAAGCACAAAGAACCTAAAGCCCTCTTACCCTCTTATGAGATTCCTACCTTTAGCCAAACTGAGTTTCCAAACCTTTCTAAATTCCCATCTTTAGACTTTGCCTCTACTGCTAGTTTGCCTAATGTAGACACAAATTTTGTGGAAGACTATGATTGGGAGGATAGTAGGCCAGACAGCCCTTTGAACTGGAGAGTTTTAGTTGGTTCTGATGGTGAGTCTAGTGATGGAGAAGATCCAACATATGACCCTGAGGATGATGGAGAAGGTGAGGCAGGGAAACAAGATAAGGGTGTAGATGGTGATGGTGATGAGGGTCCTAAAGATCTAGAAGCTGAGGCAACTGAAGATATAGAAGAACTCAATTCATTGATGCAGAAACTGATGAGAGTGATGATGAGCTAAGGGAAGCAAGGAATAGAGTTAAGGATTGTAACTCTAGGATACTTAAATTAGCTGAGCAGTTGGAAAAGGAAGCCTATGAGGGGAAGGTAGTTTATGATGGTGGTGTTGGAAAAGTAGTAGCATCTGAGGGAGGTTTGAGAAGTGATTGTGATGATGATGAAGACATTGACACCCCAACTGGAAGTGATGATGAGGTAAATGGTGTTAAGGGGGAGGTAGTGAGACCTGATGGTGATTTCACCAAGTTTAATGGAAGGCAGGTCAAAGATTTGCAAATAGTACAGACTTTAAGGATGTTGTAACTTAATATGTAGTGATGCAAGAAAGGGATTTGAAATACACTGTGAGTTGGAAAGGCAAGCAGAGGTTAGGAGTTAAATGTGTTGGAGATTACCCCTTTTATGTGTACTGTTCAATGCATTCAAGGGATTCAACATGGATGGTGAAGACTACAGTTGATTCACATACATGCCATAGGAAAATTAGTAAGAATAGGCAACTTAAAACTACTTGGGTGGCAAAGCAGTTGCTAGAGGTTTTCAGAGCTAGGCCACATTGGCCAGCTAAAGAGATTGTTGAAACTGTAAGAAGAGCTTACAGAATGATTGTGTCTAGAGACTTTGCATACAAAGTCAAGTATAGGGCTCACAGGCTGTTGCATGGCTCTATGAAAGAGCATTACATAAAGGTTAAGAGATACTTGAAGGCATTTCAAGGTGAAAGTCCACAGACTGTGTTCGAGTTGGTAGTTGCTCCACAACCCAATACTTCTACCCCAATGTTTCAAAGGTTATTCACATGTTTTGATGGTGTTAGAGAGGGGTGGAAGGCAGGATGTAGGAGAGTGATATGTGTTGATGCAGCTTTTCTGAAGACTTTCCTAGGGGGTCAAATCTTGAGTGTTGTATCAAGGGACCCTAATGAGCAAATGTATCTTATATGTTGGGCTATGGTGGAAGGTGAAAACAGTCTATCATGGGAGTGGTTCTTCAACCATCTCAAGTCATGCTTGGACCTTGGGGATGGTGAAGGGATTGCTGTGATTTCATATGAGCATCAGGTGACACTTTATGCTTATTTCATTTGTTTGGTTTTCTTAATTCATTGATTATAAATGTATCTAATGTTATGGTGTTTGATGCTGTTTTTTAAGGCTATACTTAGTGTTGTTGCTGTGGTGCTCCCTAAGGCAGAGCATAGGCACTGTGCCAGGCATATTTATGCCCTCTGGCACAGGACATATAAAGGAGAGGAGATGAAGCTGCAGTTCTGGAAGATAGCCAAATGCTACAATGAAGCTGATTTCAATGAAGCAATAGAAGAATTGACTGAAATGAATCCAGAGGTTGCTCTTGCATTCAAGAGGTATAACCCTAAGTTCTTTTGTAGAGGATTCATGAACCCATGTATCAAAACTGATGCTATCACAAACAATATGGCTGAAAAATTCAATGCTTACATCATTAATGCTAGGACTAAGCACTTAATTTTCATGTTAGAGGATATTAGGGTAGCCTTGATGCAAATGTTGGTAAAAAAAAGACAAGAAATGGAGAAATGGACTTCTGTAATTTGTCATAAGGTACAAGCTAGGTTAGAGAAAGAGAAAGAAAAGGCAGCTAACTGTGATGTAATGCCTTCATCTGAGAGTAAGTTTAATGTGAGATTTTACTATGACCAGGTAAATGTAGACTTAGTTGGTAGGAGTTGTAGTTTTAGAAACTGGAATATGGTAGGCATTCCATGCTTCCATGCTATTGCTTGCATTTTTTAAAAAAATAGACAACCTAAGGCTTATGTTGATGACTGCTACAAAGTGGAAACTTATAAGAAGGTGTATAGTGGGTCCATTCCTCCTTGTGAAGGGGAGAAGTATTGGCCAAGGATTCCATGTAATTTGGACCCCCACCTATCAAGATAGGTCCTGGCAGACCCAGAAAGAACAAGATCAAGCACCCCCTTGAGAATCCTAAAAAGCCAGGTTCTCTAAGTAGGTCAGACATTGAGATGACATGCTCCAAATGCAACATGAAGGGGCACAATAAGAGGGGTTGTCAAGAGAAGGACTCTGAAGCAATATCACCACCTGCAAAAAAGCCCAAGGGAAGACCAAAAAGAGCTGCAGCAACACCTGTACCAACACAACAATCCCAGTTAGCTTCATCTTCATCTTCAACTCCAGCAACAGGCCCAACTGCAACAGGAACCTCTTCCCATCACAACACTTCTGCACAACCCATTTAGTTAGGAAGGGGTGGAAGGCTCATTCTCTCTGGTGAGGGGTCTAGAGGTGTGTCTCAGACCATTACTAGATCCCAATCTGCAGCTCATGGAAGAGGGAGGGGAAGAGGAAGGGGAGTTGCAGAGAGAGGCTCTGAAACTGGTGAGGCACCAGTTCCTGGACAAGGGAGAGGAAGGGCTAGGGGTAAAGGGAGAGCAAAGTCAACAATTGGAATTGGTGTCTTGTTTGGTGATGATGGAAACCCAATGGTAAGCTGATGCAGCTTTATGAATGTTTTGTGTATTTATTTATTTTATATTTTTTTTGCTAATTTTATGCCTTTCTGTCAATTTCTTACCAATTTTTTTATGTCTCAGGTTCCAGCAACAAGGGCAAGGCAGATATCTATATCTGAGCTATGATGCATCAGTCTTTGTGCAACCTGAATCCTTGATGGAGCTGAACTCTTTTCAGTGGTTTATGCCTGAATCATGAAACTTTTGTGTACTTATGTTTTAGTCCATGGAACTAGTACTATTTTCATTTGTTTCTGTTAAACAAACATGTTGTGTATTTTGATGTGGTTGTGCACTTTGAACAAGTGATGTTAAACAATGTTGGGCCTCTTTTGATGTATTTGCAAACTACTATGATCAGTTTATGTCATCTTTTATGTCATCAAGGCCTATTTTTAATGTCATTTTTTATGTCATTTTCATGCCTAATTTTTATGTCATTTTTTATGCCAATTTCATGCCTATTTTTTATGTCATTTTTTGCAAAATTTGCTATCATCAAGGATTATACAAGTACTGTCAAAACAGGTGTGCAAATTGTAAACAAAAACACCAAATTCCATACATTATTCAACATAGCATATCCATAACTCATCCATTACAGCCCCTAGTTATGAGTCAAATTAATTAAGAAAAAAAACAACAACAAACAACATCCAAGAAACAAACATTGCCAAATACAAAGTTTTTTCAGTCCTATTCAATTTCTCTAACTCAATCCTCATTTCAATGACTTCTTTCTTCATTTCTTTCAATTCTTCCTCCAACTTAGCTTTCTTCAACTGCAATTTCTTTATTTTTTCATCTCTGAAATTTTGTTCAACCTCTAATTCGCATATGATAGTATCCTTTTCCAACAACTTGAACTGGTACTCTTCAACATCAGTGTGCTCATTTACCCATTTGAAAAAATCGCACTGAGTGTCCTACACAAATTACAAATCAATAAACAAAATAAATACACAAACAATCCATTTGCCACAATTCAACACAAAGTTAGATTTAACTTACTGGCCACATAGGACAACCATATAACTTCATCCCAAAATTAGGGCCTTTTCTCACTGTCTTAATTAGAGCTTCTTTCCCACAATTGCATCGAACTTGCGCATTCCCTCGAGGATGAACCTGATGTGTATGAGTTAGACCTCCTAGAAGCCATGCTCAGTTCAAAGAATGGAAAAAGAAGATGGAGAAAGAAAGAACGAACAGGAAAAAAAAAGGGAAGAAAAGAGGAGATGGAGAAAACAGAGAGGAGAAGAACAGGGAAGGGGGGTATTTTATAGAGAAAGTGGAAACAACCTAACGGTTATATTCCACATAGGCTAAGGGGAGGGGGAATTTACGTCAATCCTTGACTTTACCCCAAAATACAGGCTACGTCATCAAGTTTACCTACAAAATCAGGTCACACATAATTTTATACTATTTTGGGAAGAAGTATAGGAAAGGTGGTGTTATTTAGGGAAGACCGGCCAAAGGTCGTGTTATTTTTGACAAATTTTCCTATTACATTCCATCTTCTCTCACCTTACTCACCAAAACCCATAAACTTTGAAACCACCTTCCTCCCCCAAGTTGTCTATGGAAACCACCGTCACTGCCACCCTTATCTCTGAAACACCCCCCAAAATCAATCACCACCCGTATATCTCATCTTCACAGGAAAAACCTCGACCTTCCTCCCTGCACAAGCCGTCTTATCTCATCACCTTCATCTTTATGGCGTCACTGACGAGTCTCCTCCCCGCATAAGTTACCCTCTCTCATCTTCACCGCACAAGCCTCGACTCTCTAAAACTCTTAAGTTTATCAAGTTGAAGCCATGGTGGTCGAATTTGAGTGGTTATTCCAGATCTGAAATCACCATAGTCAAATTCAAGCCAACAAGCTCTCAATTCTTAAAAATTTGTTGAACTATGTGCGGTTGTTGGTGGTGTGGGTATTTTCACTTTTGTTAATTTTCTCAAGTATGCAGATCTGGTGGTCTGGACAATGGTGGTTGTTAATTTGTTAATGTGTGGGTCTTCTTCACTTTAATTTGGTATTTGACAGTAAATCAAATATAGATATTAACTTAAAGAGTAAGCGACTATATTGTTGTAGCAAATTAATATAGAAATTGATGTCGTATACCGGTGGCTATTTTTTTGAGGTGGTTGTGGTAGCTAGTCCGGCAATATAGGTGGTTGTGATGGTGATTTCAGTAATGGGAACTGGGTAAAGGTTAGTTGGCAAAGGTAGTGGGCAAGGGTACATTTGTCTTTTGATATTATTTACCACCCTTATCAATAACATAATAAATACTAAAACAAACACCATGAATGACACGTGTCATTTCCTGGTGCTATTATTTTTCCCTCCAAAATCATCTTCTGTCTTCTTTTTTTATAAATTCTCTAGAAAAAATATAATATGATTTGTTATAGGTTTTATTATATCTTCTATATATACACCATTAACTAAAATTCATGATTTTAATTTAACGATATGCAATTTTATATTGTGTTGGGAAAAATAAATTGATATAACTATTTTCTTTCCCCCAAATATTACAAGATCGCTTTGACTATCAGCTAAACTCCCTTTCCCCTATTTAATTAGATTTTATCATATCAGATCCTATTTTGTTTGTTTTTCTTTTCCACTTCCTACCAACATTGTTATTATTTTAGTAATAAGTTACGTATTATTTTAAAACTTTTTTAATACTATACATCTTTAATTTACGCAAAATTAGTTTTTTTTTTGTTAAATTCGTGCATTTTGCACGGGCGCTAACCTAGTGTGTGCCTAAAACTAATACTACCTCCGGTTCAATTTACTCGCAACAAAGAACAACTTTATGCAAACCAAGGCAAAATGAAGGGAAGTAATTAAGGGATTAAAATAGGAGGGAAACCATGCGGTCCATTTTGTTAATAAAGTAGAAGTAGTGGGAAAAGATTGTGAGGTGGACATTTTCCACCCAAAAAATCTGACTTTGTACATGGGTCTCCAAATTTGACTTGGGTGGTTTTTCTCTCCCTATTTTTCAGCCAAATTTAGGAGGGAGTTCCTTGTTTTTTTTCTTTCACACGAATTTCTCTCCTAAAATTTCAAGCCAAATTCTAAATATTTGGCAAACACCCACAAATTTGTACTTTTCATACCATTCAAACCAATTCCCCCTTATAAATAGAAGAGTTTCCAAAAGACTTCACTGTTTGTTTTTCAACCACATTAGAAATTAGGGAGGGGTTGGGGGTATAGGATTGATAATTAAATTTTTACAAAACATATTCCCTACAAATTAAAAAAGCTCATAATTAGTTTTAAATTAGTCTGAATACAGGGTGCTAAGTTAAGCAAAAGCAGCATCCATGTTCAGTTCTTCTAGGCTCCATTGAAGACCATCCAAAAAATTACGGCCACCACTTCATCACCTTTAGAAAGCCTGAAAAAAAAATAAGGGACTCATGGAAGAGTTGTTTGAAGAAATCTTTTTTAATGAACATCAACTGTACAATGAGGAGCAAACAATGGCAGCGTTTCAGCATTATACAGATGAAGGCTACTTTGAACTAGAAACAAAAGAAAACAGCAGGAACTAAGAAGAAGAAGCTGGTTATGATGCAGATGATGATGGTCAACAACAAGCTGAAGGTCATATGCATGATATACAGAGCAGAGAAAGGACAGTGGAAGAAAAACGCCAACTTGTTGATGAGATTATGCTCAACATGGAGGGGGACTCAGTGGCAAGAGGATTTTTTATCCAGATTGGCCAGAAAGCATCATGTGCATAGATCAACAACAACAAGAAGGTTTCAGTTAATTAAGAAACACATAGTAGAGGGATATGTTGTAGATGTTAGGACCAAAAAATTAGTTATTGTCGATTGAAAACAATCAAACAGAGTAACTAATCATTCTCAACTTCAATACCTTTGTACAAAAGACAAACTGAAAGAGCATATTCTGCAGCCCTTCATATTTCTAAGGTTGCTTTATACAAGTTAAGGAACAGGGGTAGATTCAGAACACACACAAGCACAAGCAAGCCAGCACTAACTGACAACCACAAAATAGCAAGACTAAAGTGGGTTCTTAGACACATTACCCCAATTCCTGCTCAAGGGGACCTTCATTTGTTAACATGCAACAAGTGATTCACATTGATGAGAAGTGGTATTTTATAAACCCTTAGACAAGGACTTTTTATCTTCTGCCAACAAAAGATGATCCATACAAAGCACAAAAGTCTAGAAGGTTTAAGGTAAAATCCATGTTTATGGGCATGATATGTAAACCATTATATGATGAAAAAAAACAACTCTTACATGATGGGAAGTATGGGCTATTGGCTTTTGTGAAGTATGAGGAAGCAAAGAAAAAGAGTAAAAACAGAGACAAGGGAACCATAGAGGCTAAGGTCGTCTAGAATATAAACAAGGAAGAAATTAGGGACATGTTATTGAACCATGTGTTGCCCACTTTACATGAGCAGTGGCCCCCACTGCTGCCCAAGGATATAACTATCCAATGTGATAATGCAAGACCCCATTAAGTACCACAAGATCCAGAATTTCAAGCAGCAACACAAGCATATGGATTTAACATACAGTGTGTTTTCCAACCAGCTTAATCACCAAACATGAATGTTCTAGACTTAGGACTCTTCAATGTCATCCAATGAATTCAATACCAGTCATTCCCTCAAAATTTAGATGAACTAATCAAAGAAATTGAAATAGCATTCAGAAATTTTGATCCAGAATTTAACAAGTACAGTTGGATTACACTTCAATTATGCATGGTTGAAGTCTTAAGAAGGAAAGGGGGAAACAATTACACACCACCACACATGAAGAAAAGAAGTCTAGATAAGCAAGGCATACTACCAGATTTGCTAAAGGTAGACAAGGGATTTATTGCAGAGGCGGTCACTTATCTTGACTCAATCACAATCCCAACTACTGGTCAAGAAGAAACTTAAATGAAAGTTGATGCAATTTAAAGATTACAAGGAACGATGATTTTTTTTTTGGTAAAGGCATTGACTGCCACACATAACCAGTATAATCTAAACATGTTTTTTGTTCTTGTTTGGTATTGGTTAGGTGTATTTTGGTACATACTTCACTGGAAATATTTCTAGGCAGTCATGCATGCAATGTAAGCAAAGGTTTTGTAAAAATGGCATCTTTTGGATATTAATGGAAAGATAACTGTCTCGGGGTTTTCTGATGTCCTGCGGGAGAGTTACAATTCCGAGACTGGAACCGGACGCCTGTACCTGCAAAACAAACGGATGCTCCGGATGATTGGAGATCCGCCTCCGACGGTCAAGTTAGTACTTGATTAAGGAGTAATTAATGCGGAAATTAAAGTGATTGGGTCTCTCTAGGTGAGAGAGTTTAATGTGTGTAATCTGCGTAATCTCCCTTAATGAGGATTAAGGGAGGTATTTATAACCTCGGGAAACGTGCCAATCTAGGTTTAGGTTAACCTTGGGCTGATTGAGCTTCCCACGGAAGTTGGGCCTAGGTGACCGGTTATCCCAGGTGTCATGGGAAGGACACGTGTCGTGTCGTAATTGGTCCATAGTGGACGGATCATTGCTTGACACGTGGCAGGCTCCTATTGGCCCATGTGACGGACACATGGCGGAACCTGATTGGTCCACTTGTCAGATGGTGATTGGTGGTGAAAAATCCCCTAATCATTTGCCCCTCACAGGTGGCACGTTACTGGTCACGTGTTACCTGTGACAGGTATCGCCCTGTAACAGGCGACGGCCTGCTACAGGTGTCACTCGGCGAGAGGCCGAGAGATTCTCCCGCCAAAATTTTGAATTATGGAAGTGACCCTTCGCCTTCTCACTTCGCCTATATAAAGGAGTGTTGACTTCGGTCATTTTCACACTTGAAAACTTTGTGAGAGAACATTCGGACCCCTGAACTTGCTCTGACATTTTGGACCCTTTATGCCTACCGCCTGCTCTGACAAGCCGGCTGCAAAGGATTTTCAGAACTTCATCAATC